GTCCCCAAGAGAGGACTGGGACCAGGAGATATATGCCAGATTTTCTCTTATAATGAGATTTCAAAGCTCATTTCTTGGCATAAAGCTTCCATATAAAAAAAGATGTTGCCACTTTTTCATTTCTTGTAATGGTAGAAAGAGAATGTTTGGGATATAAAAAAACTTCATATTGGATTTGCACCAGGAAATGAAGCCAGAGGATCTGGCCAGGAAATACATGCTCTGAAAAATGGGCACATTCAGGATGGCAGTGGCTGGGGGGTAAAATACTGAGGATTTTAAGATTTTTTGCAGTATGAATAGCTCCATGAAATATAATGAATCCCTGACAAGTGGTGTGGTTGTTTTTTTTTTAAGCAGCTCTGAAAACTTTCCAGGATCCACTTCTAATTCTGTCTATTTTGCAAACAACCACAGGGCAAATTCAGGGCAGCTCTGTTCTGGAGAGATGCATTCTCCAAACTGGGCTGATAATATTAACATATCCCCAGAGCCAAGTTTGCAAGTCTGAAGATGCCCTTGTGAAGCAATGAGATGCTAAATAAATCAAACTATTATCTCTATAATCTGTCCTGTGTCCAACACAGGGAGAAGCAGGTGCATCCTCTCAAAAAGCTTTCATAAAATGTTCTTTCTCTGCATTTTTAGACACGATTACTTAGCAGTGAACGGATATAGTTGGGAATTTTATAAATAAATTACATTATAGAACAATCATAAATAAATGCTAGAAGCTACCACACAGGCTTCAAGAAACTATTCAAAAAAGGAATTATTATTTCTTTACTTCCAAGCAATAGCAGCATGGTCTCTAAATGCATTTGCACACTTGTTTTTTCTCTTACCAGCTGTTGCCCTTTTGGACCCCAACCAGCATACTGAAGCTTTGCATTGCTGACCTCAGGGGGATACAAATTCTGGGGATCCCTGAAAAAAGAGAAAAATAAGATTTCAGCTTCAGAAATGTCCTTGTTTAAGCTGCTGCACACGTGTGCTTTGGAAATACAGCACAAACTTGTAAGATGCCTTTCATCCAGGTTTCAGTAGACTTATTACACAGTAAGGTAAACACTAGCAAGTGTTGGTAAGATCAAACATTTAAGTGACAATTTCTTTTTCTTATTAATAAAAAGCTAAACATATTAGTTCCACTGCTGACTTGCCTAAGCCTTAAGAATTAGTTCAGGGATGGCAAAGAATGTAATTGTGTTTATCAACTCTGAAGATGCCCACAAAGGATAAACAATAATTATATCTTTAAATCCTACTGCCACAAGAAAAAGAAAATTTTGTCTTCTGCACCCATTGACTTTTTTTGCCTCATAAATTTCCTTTGAATATGATGACAGAAAAGATTAGCAACTGTATGACAACTGATATGAAGCCTGGCTTCCAAGACAAAATCTCAATAGTAACTCAAAATACCTATTTTTTTTTTTTTTAGAAAACAAAAGCAAAATGCTTTTCTTGTTCTTTCATCCATTACCTTCATTTTGTAGCAGAACACAAGTGACACACAGCAAATGCAATATAGAAAAAGGAGGCTTTTTTGTTAAATGTCAAAGCAGCATAATGTCATTTTCTCCCAGCATAGATAGCATTGCCTTAACTGTATTTATACTCAGCTCAAATAATTACATTACATATTCTGAAGTCACATTGCAACAACCCTGTGTATCATAATACCCTACAAACAAGAACTCTAATAAAGCCTGTATAAAATGTGCCTCATTAGAAAATCTCAAACTGCTTGAAAAAGTAAGGGTATTATTATCACTGGTTACAGACAGGAATAACAAGGCAATTTGAGGCAAACATCACCAAAAACCAGAGAAAAGAGCCAAACCCTGTCTGGCCATTAAGCAAAAGGCCCTTCTTGCACAGTTTCCAGACCATGTTTTCCAAACAGAACAAAGCTGGATGCAATAATTCAGCATTAAGTGAATTCTCTTTGTTTCCTGGTGCAGTCCCCAGTTTCAGTCCTGGGCTGCTCATTCCCTCTGCACTGGGGCTGCTGGAGCAAGGACAAACACAGCAGCAAGGGGAATGCTCAGAACTGATTTTGTGCAAATGTAAAAAACTCTCATTTCCTCTGAGCTGTTCAAAGGCCAGCCAGAGTCAGGGCAGGCCCAAGGTGAGGACCCTGATGGTGGCCACAGGTCCTCCCTTCCATCACTGCTGCAGGTGGAAGCCTCACAGCAAAGCTGCCAGCTTTGATGGAGATGGGATGAGCTGAGGATTTGCAGGGGCAGGAAGGGAATGTTGAGGCACTGACATTTCCAAGTCTGAGTGCACCACAAGGTGCCTGTAGGGAACGCTGAGCTCCAGGATGGTTTGGGTGAATGGAGACAAGAGATCTCTGCAGGCTGCTCTTGGGGTATCAGGTTTATTAGGGATGGAGAAAGGTCCTGCTTCGAGCTGCCAGACACAGCACGTGGCAAGGCCTGAGAGGATAGGGGAGGAGAGAGACAAGAAGATGCTCTAGGAGAGGGTGGAGGTCCTATGAGGGGGAAGATCCAAGAGGAGGGGAAGTTCCAAGAGAGCATCTGGCCCCTCAGAGTCCCCTTATCAGGGGGCTTCAAGGTGGGCTGGAACAAGGCTTGGACCAATGGGGTTACAGGCACTTGATGCTTCAGGGGAGGGATACAGGTGCAGGGTGAACAATACATTTTGGGGGTGAGATGGAACAGTCCACTTGACCCCTGGACCCATCCGTAGGCAGGGGCGTTGTCTGGCTAGCAGGGAGGACTGTTCTCATCCTGGCTGAATTATTTATGAATAATTATACTTATCCATCCTTCTCAACAGGTGCCCACATAGCTTTTGTTTCTACATGCCAAAATGTCATCCACAGCTGCTGCCTGTAGAGCAAAATTGTACCTTTTCTTATGCTTTTCACCTATAAGGTGTCTTTGTGAGCAGCCTACAGTTGTTTTTGTAAGTTATGGATAGGAGAACACATAATGCTCATACTGAGAGCAGCCACAAAATTCCCTTTCCTGCAGAAAGATGAGCCACACAACTTGTTCTGGCTTGTGTGTGTTAGCTACTTGAGTTTCCAGTCAGCTATGCCTGTTAGGAATCAATCTCTCTGGTTAGCTATCTTGATTACCTTAACAGAGAGTAACCTGGGAGGGAAGTAGAAAAAGAGAAAAACATTGAATCAAATCAAAACCTCTTTTGGGAGAAAAAATAGCACTTCACTATTTGCCAAACGAGCTATCTAGTTCTTGGGTTATTTTACCCATGGTGAGAAGAAGAGCAAGAAATTACAAATAGAGGGGGAAATACCATCCCCAAATAAAGAGATTATACAAATTGTAAGAATTTAAAGCTGTAAGGCTTCAGATAACACAGGTGGAGCTAAGGGACAGACATGCCAATTACAGCAAATAATTCAGACCAGAGCAGAGACTAGTCCTGTCAGTTCTGCTCACTGCATCATCTTTTAGAAGAGGGAAACTCTAGCAGAATGAAAAATGCTCCATAAACCAGCTTTGGTAGTTGGTAAGGCAGAAAGAAAAGAACTGTGCTTCAGACAAAGAAAAAAAAAAAACACCAAAAAAAAAAAAAAAAA